TTTGATACTGTAGAAGAGAGAAATAAGTAATTTATTGATATTTCCTGGAATTAGATTTTTTACAAAGAGAAGAGAGATATAAATAAGAAACAGGGGAAGATGAGGAAGAAATCTGTGGTGCTGATTTGAATTGGAGTTATTAATACGAACTTAAGATTTTAAAGATTATATACTTCCTAACTCTATCCAGGGAAGGGTCTAAAAAACAATACAAAGTAAATTAACTAATGGCTGTATTTGCTTTTTGTTTGTGTTCCCCAGTAACAATAGGTACATTACTTTATTCCAAATGTGATTCCTTATAAAAGGCTGCTTCCATATCAAGCGAAGGAAAAATGTAGAAGATCTTTTGGTAGAAATCAAGAAAAAGATCAGAACCAAGAAGACAGATTCAAAATCCAGAGAAGCCATTTCAAGGGGCTCCATTAGCCAAATCCGGGTCAACGCAAGCATTAAAGAAGAATAGTGAGGATACTGATTTATAACAAGTTATAAAAATCTATGAGGCTATAATGACAATAAAAAGAGATAGATAAGAATGTATTTATTACGGAAGAATGCTAGTTGATATATCTAATTAGAAAATCAATGTAACCATCCAATAATTATAGACAAATTCCACCAGTAGATGCCTAAACTAACAGTCTTTGTTTCCTTCAGTACTTTGAATTATACTGTTCTGCTCTCTCCTGGCCTGTTGGGTTTCTGCTAAGAAATCTGCTAAAGGCTGTACTGGGGCTCCCTTAAATGTGGTATGTTTCTCACTGCTTGCTGCTGTTAGTATACTTTCTTTGGCTTTGATTTTTGGTAATTTGATTATATTGTGTCTTGGTGAACCCCTTTTTGCGTTAAATTTGATGGGCAGCCTCCAAGCTTCCTGCACCTGGATGTTGCTCTCTTTCCCCAGATTTGGGAAATTTTCAAAGATTATTTCCTTATATATGATTTTGGGGCCTAACAGCATATGTACATTGTTTCAAAGCATCAATACACGGGTTACTATTTAATTACAAAGGGTAAAGGGCACATTCACAATGGAGAGATCTGGGATCAGTCATCTCAAATTTAGCATTGCCAAAATGCATACAAATGACATTCCATGTTCTTGTGATTGGCTGTATGCAATGGGAAATAGACGTTATCTGTGGTGTGTATTTCCCAAGTAATTAACCTCTAATAATATGAAAATTTTTATTGTGAGCTGTTTTACAAGTAAGCTGACAAGGACACTTCAAAAATATATGGTCATGAAAAGCAGAAAATATAGTAAGTGGCTGGAGGAGATGTATCGTTGAAAAGTAACTAAAGAGATCCGACAATCTCCTGAAATACATGATCTTTGGTTTTACCCTAGAGGAAAAAGTAAATCAAAACCAAGGGACATGTTGAGACAACTGGAGAAATTTGAATGTAAAGTATATACTAGATAATGATGCCATATGAATGCTAATTTTTTGAGTGTAATAGTGACATTTGTGGTTATGTAAGATAATGCCAATTGTTTAGAAAAGACATATTGAATTACTAAGGAAAAAACGTTTCAGAAATTAAGGGTAAAATATACAGAGAGATATAAAGGTCACAAAATGTTAACAATTGGTATACAGATGTACATTTTAAGATTCTGTTTGTTTTATTGTTCTCTAAACTTTTCCATAGGTGTTCAGTTTTTAAATAAACTTTGAATGAAATGTATTAACAGACCAAAATAAAATGTTGGCATTATTTCGGTGTAATGTTGGGTATCTCTTATATTTAGTTTTAATATCTTTGAAATATTCTGTCAATATCATAAATAAATATAAAAGATAAGGTCTTTTCTAGCCCTATAAAATACTTTTTTCATAGGAGACAGGCTATAATTTTTAAGAAAGTTTCAAAAGAAGATAAGATAATTTACAGTTTGAGGACAAAACAGCTTGATATCTCTGAAACCGGCACAAAACTTAGTTAACAATGCATGCCAGGAGGCCATTTAACAAATGTTTTCTCTGTGTCAAGATATTCTGAGCATTCTGCAGTTTGGCCAAAAACTCAAAAACTTTCAAAGGTGATTGAATGTAAACAGAAAAATAGTGATTTTGCCAAGTTATGGCTGGGCAGTACGTATTTGTGTAAGGGGGAGAAGGGCTGCCTTAGTCTGTCTTCTGCTGCTGTAACAGAATACCTGAGGCTGGGAAACGTATAAAGAGAAAAGGTTTACTTGGCTTACAATTCTGGAGGCTGGAAAGGCCAAGACCAGGGCACCAACCTCTGGGCTTCTTTTGAGGGCTCTGTGCTGTGTCACAACATGGAAGAGAAGCGGAAGAAAGAGCAGGCCTGTGCAAGGAAAACCGGGATGAACAAGACCCTCACTTTGTATCAGCCTGCTCTTACAGTGACTAATACAGATCCTGGAGAGAGAGAACTGACTCCTGGCATTAATCTTCCATGAAGAGTCCAACCCCATGACCCAAACAACTCCCATGTGGCTCAAAATTGCTACATTGAGGCTCGAAATTGCTGCATTGAGGACCAAGATGAGTTTTGTTGGGGACAAACCACAGCCAAACTGCAGGCGGGGCTCTGGCAAGACGGTAGGAATAGATGGAGCTGGGAGGAATTCCCCCTAGTTCCTCACAAACACTGTCTGATATTAGCCCTGATTCTACTGAGGACAGTAGAGACATGGCCCCAGTATTTCTGACCCATGAATCGAGAGCCTGAGCCTGGTAACTCTGAGCCATTGGCCAGCAGGCAGCACTAGGATTTGCTGGGGTTGGCTTGCTTTTAAATCAGGGGTCAGTGCTGTCTGAGGAGTTAAATTTAAAGGAAAAGTGTGGCTTCATCCCAGCATTCAGGATCTAGTTGGCAGATGTTGTGAGTGGCCAGTGGAATGTGAGACATTAAATGGAAACTCTTCATCCCCCACCGATGCAGGTAGGTATCCTCTGTTCAGCAGGGAAATCCCAACTGTAGCAAATCATTGAGTGAAGAATGCTCTGGGCTTGCATGGGGATAGATGGAGGAGAGCCAGGAGCCAACCTGCATGCTCAGAGACCCATAGAAAGGGAGAACCACTTCCTCCTCAGGAGAACTCAGAGAAACCTTAGCAATTCACCTGTACCCCACAACTAACCCATTCCAGTTGTGCCCTGGACGGTGGACAGGAGGATGTAAAGGGAACATAGGAGAAGGGAGTGGACAATTCCAGACCTCTGCAGATAGGCTTATCTCAAATAACCCCGCAAATATTCTGAATAAGAACCAGATGTCCCAGGGCTCTGGCCTTTTCTTCCCTGAGCAGCATGATGATGCCTCATTCCTGCCTTGACAAAGATTCTGTCATGAATTTCTCAGTTGTGCTGCCCAGGAAGCAGGTGAGGACCGGGAACAATGAGGAATGTCGTCCCTGGACTTGGCATGCCTCACTCGTAAGCACATCACATGTAGGTCCTGTGACTGATAGGTTTGATAGACGGATAAGTCCTGTTTCTAGCCACTAGTCTCTATCCCCTGAATGCTGTTGTCACTCAAAGCCACAACCCTGGTCACAAAGATGGAGCAGGTAGTGGCACCTTAATGTGAAGAAATTTTCCATCATGTAATTATTACCTGGTGCCTACATGAGTTAGACTCAAACCAGCAGCTGTTTACCTCAGTGATGGAGGATTTATGACAGAAACAGATGGCTCTTGTAATTCTATACCCACAGGTGTTCACCTGATAACCTTGACATGTGTCCTGTAGGTTTTGGGGGTTTGGTGGAAATCTCTGAGCCTGCCTCACTGAACACATATTTACTCGTTCCCAGCTCTCTGGACATGCATCTCCTTGTATTATTGTCTTATGCCAACTCTCAGGGGCTCCATCCCCTAACTCTTCCCATCCTTTATCCCTTAGGCAGTGAATAAAAGTATATTTGTAACTAATGTTGCCCCATTAGAAAAAAAATGCCAGATACTAGCCTCTGCTGTTCAATTGTAAATTACACTAAATCTGCAAGTATTTTTTTTTTTTTTTCTTCAAGATTTCAACAAATCTGATTTTGGATTTCTTACAGTATCCACAATGATATTTTCAGGGATAAGAGAGTCCCCACTCATCTTATAAGATATCAGAACTTTCATTACATTGATGACCAAGAACCATAGGCAGAACCATGATGAAGACATGGTACACAATGCATCATGAAGATTGATAACAGAAAAGAGAAAACTGGTCATTGACCTTCACAAAAAACGAATTCTCTCAGGGTATTATTTTACCCCTTTTGCTTAGAGCATGTCAGCTGGCTCGACATGCTTCTAGGATAAACCTGTGTCAACTACCCCAGCTCCAGCTCTGTCTAAGCTCATAACAATGAGAAAATGGACAACCTGGTAAGACAGAAATGCCCAGAGAGAAGGATAACAGATAAGACACAGAGGTTACGAATTGCTGTCTGTACTTTGAGTTGCCTTTGACACATTCAAGTAGAAACATCCAGCAGAAGATGGGTTTCATGCGCGTCCGTGTGAAGAGACCACCAAACAGGCTTTGTGTGAGCAACAAGGCTGTTTATTTCACCTGGGTGCAGGTGGGCTGAGTCTGAAAAGAGAGTCAGTGAAGGGAGATAGGGGTGGGGCCGTTTTATAGGATTTGGGTAGGTAAAAGAAAATTACAGTCAAAGGGGGTTGTTCTCTGGTAGGCAGGGGTGGGGGTCACAAGGTGCTCAGTGGGGGAGCTTTTGAGCCAGGATAAGCCAGGAAAAGGAATTTCACAAGGTAATGTCATCAGTTAAGGCAGGAACAGGCCATTTTCACTTCTTTTGTGGTGGAATGTCATCACTTATGGCAGGAACGGCCATCTGGATATGTACGTGCAGGTCACAGGGGATATGATGGCTTAGCTTTGGCTCAGAGGCCTGACAAGAGGCCTGGAGATGCAATGGGCGATCCAATCCCCCAAGCCCTAGAGATGAGAGTGAAGACACTGATGAACTTACACATAGTCCATGAATATGCTAAAGCAACTTCTAACTCTGTTTTAGTTCATAACAATTGGTTTCTAAGAACTTAGGCATTTGTGGAGACAAAGATATCACTGTATGAACTGCCATATAAGGACAGGGGCGTCCCTCCTCCTCTGCTCCTGTTCACAAGGACCCTGAACTGGCAAAGCTCCCATCCTGCCCTGAGCCTGCCATGGGCACCAGGCTCCTCTGCTGGGCGGCCCTCTGTCTCCTGCGGGCAGGTGAGTCCTAAGAACACCAAGATTATCCCATTGGAAATTCCAGTGATTACTTCAATCATTTCTGTCTTTGTATTTTCAAATTCTGTCTTTTTTCCCCAACAGAACTCACAGAAGCTGGAGTTGCCCAGTCCCCCAGATATAAGATTACAGAGAAAAGCCAGGCTGTGGCTTTTTGGTGTGATCCTATATCTGGTCATGCTACTCTTTACTGGTACCGGCAGATCCTGGGACAGGGCCCGGAGCTTCTGGTTCAGTTTCAGAATGACGGTGTAGTAGATGATTCACAGTTGCCTAAGGATCGATTTTCTGCAGAGAGGCTCAAAGGAGTAAACTCCACTCTCAGGATCCAGCCTGCAGAGCTTGGGGACTCGGCCGTATATCTCTGTGCCAGCAGCTTAGCCACAGCAGTGCAGAGACACTTCCCTCCTGTGCACAAAACTGCAGGGCTCTCTCCTCTCTCCTCAGCTCACAGCGGCCTTTCCTTATTCCTCATCCTCCCAGGGAAGAAGCGAGTTTTCAGATATAGCTAGGATTCATATAGTGGGAGGAAATGAACTATTTCTTAAAACATGAGTGCTATAATTGTTGTTTGAAAATGTGTCTCAGGGATTTGAAAGACTTCTGGGTGGGAATTCAAGAAACCAAAACTGAAAGTGATTTATCACAGACCTAGTCCTCAGGCGCAGTGATGATTGTTCTTCTATAAAAAATGTGTACAATGCTGTGTGTTAATTAAGAAAATAAATACACAAACTTGAAAAATAAAAACATTTAATCACCAAAATATGTGTGTTAAACTTTAATGATATAGATATTGATTTCATGCAAATAACAAACAGCAGGCCCTCCTTCTGCCCTTGTCAGCATCTGAATGATTTGAGTCTTATCCTGGCTCTGGAATCTCTTCTTGACCTCGCACTGGATGTTTCATGCAATCAAATCTCAACAGATACTATGTGTTTGGAAATCCTTTCCCTCTGTTTTTGTGGAAATATGACAATGAGAATAATATTGTGATGATGATGATGTTGATCATTTCAGCTATTTCATTCAGCACACTGTAAACTTCAAAGAAATGCACACAAATGGTTATCCTGGAAACAACTCCCAAATCTTAGCTCAAAATGAATTTTGCTTCACTGGAGTGCTTTAACTTTTCAATGTAACAGACATAGCCCAACATTATAGGTAGTCCTGGGCCAGCTAGTTCAGAGGCTGGTGAGGACACTTCTACTTGTCTGCCCATTTCCTTGTCTGTCCATTAAAATAGCTCCTTAGTGCTATTTTAATGTTCCTGCCAGAACTTCGTAAACAATGAACTGCCCCTGGTCCAATTGTCTCCTCTAATAATGCACTGTGTGTGTCCAAATCTAGTCTCTACCCTAATTTCTGCCGGATTCTCTTGTATTAGAAATCATTCCGAAGTACTGGTTAGAATGCTTGGGAAGGCAGCTTCCTGGGAATCCTCTGAAGGACCGTGCCTGTCAGTGATTCCCTCATTACACTTCTTGAGAGCATCTTGTATTTCAATGAACGTAGGACTCTCAGTTATTTCAATCTGTCTGCTCCTGTTCACCTCTGAGATCTTTGTGGCTTGTTTGTGTTGATTTTCTTTTGTGCTGCTTCTCGGTCATTTGTTTGTATTTTTCCTTATAAACCTGATTATTTTCAACATTGTGCCAGACACCATGGTTGTAGAAATAATTTTGGTCTAGGATGACATAGCTTTCTCCAGAGATAATTTTATTGTGCTTTGTAAAGTGCATGGTTGCATAAACAATCCAGGACTCCCTGAAACAGAATTCAAGGACTGAGGTATCCTGGAGCCCCCGGAGAGCAGGTTTCCTACTAGTTCATTGTTTCTATTCAAGTTCCTCAGTGGTCACACTCAGTGAAGTCTGGTCTTAGCCTTTACCTCCCCCCCCACCCCCCACCGTGAGTCAGCTTCCTAAGAGTGGAAGGCTCAGCAAATGCCCCTAAGGACAGTGACTGCTGTGCTCACTCCCCAGGCTCCTGCCTTCTCCAAGATTCTGGACCAGTTATCCCTCATAATGTTTTCGGGATATTAATTAGCTGCAGTTTTTGTTAGTGTGGTAATTTACCCAGTGATTTAAATAATAACAGAAGGGTTAATTTTGTTACAAGAAAGGGGTCCTGATCCAACCCCCAAGAGAAGGTTCTTGGATCTCATGCAAGAAAGAATTCAGGGTGATTCCACAGTGCAAAGCCAAAGCAAGTTTATTAAGAAAATAAACTGGTGAAAGAACAGCTACTCCATAGACAGAGTAGGGCTTTCCCAACAGTAACAGGAAGAGCACATCTACCCTAGGTACAATACTTGTCTATATATAGGACAAGAAAAGATCGTTGAGAGATGTGCTCTGCTACAAGGGTTAGTGATAAAGGATTAATTTTCTTAATTACTATGTTTTGCAAGGAGCAATATTATAATCTTTAAAGTGATATTTGGAACATTTCTGTTCTCAAGATATTGGGGTATCATGACATCCCCAAGTCTGGGTCTGTTTATTAAACATTATTAATCTGCTGCTTTAACCGTAAACATCTAGAGGTTAGGAATACCTGACTTTCTGGGAATGCAGCCCAGCAAGGCCCAGCCTCATTTCTTTCACTTAAGATGGAGTCACTGTGGTTTGAACGCCTCTGACAGTTTGAGTTTCCTCTTCTGTAATTACTCAGATGAAGGTCAGGGAATGTTATTTAAAGTTTTAATTTTCTTTGAATTTCAATGTCAGATTCTTAGTCTGTGATTTGCTTGATATTTAACTTAAATAGCATAGAGGAATGTTATACTGAAACTTTAATTTTGAGGAAAGGACTTTTTTTAAACTTGAAGGGGATTTATAATCAAATTGGGACACTCACTTGATTTTGACATTTTATCATTCAGAATATTATTATGTTGTTAATTACATAACCTTCGACGCTTCATTGGAACAAGGTAATGAGAATAGAGAGTAAATATTTAAATTTGATCAGATCTTTGACACACCTGACAAAAACAAGCAACGGGGAAAGTATTACCTATTTAATAAATGGCACTGGGAAAACTGACTAGCTATATGCATAAAACTGAAACTGGACCCTTTCCTTATACCTTATACAAAAATTAACTCAAGATGGATTAAAGACTTAAATATAAGACTTAAAACCATAAAAACCCTAGAATAAAACCTAGGCAATACCATTCAGGACATAGACATGGGCAAGGACTTCATGACCAAAACACCAAAAGCAATCACAACAAAAGCCAAAATTGACAAACGGGATCTAATTAAACTAAAGAGCTTCTGCACAGCAAAAGAAACTACCATCAGAGTGAACAGGCAACCTACAGAACGGGAGAAAATGTTTGCAACCTATCCATCTGACAAAGGGCTAATATCCAGAATCTACAAGGAATTTAAACAAATTTACAAGAAAAAAACAACCCCGTAAAAATGGGGCAAAGGATATAAACAGACACTTCTCAAAAGAAGACATTTATGTAGCCAACAACCATATGAAAAAAAGTTCATCATTGCTGGTCATTAGAGAAATGCAAATCAAAACCACAATGAGATACCATCTCATGCCAGTTAGAACGGTGATCATTAAAAAGTCAGGAAACAACGGATGCTGCAGAGGATATGGAGAAATATGAATGCTTTCACACTGTTGGTGGGAGTGTAAATTAGTTCAACCATTGTGGAAGACAGTGTGATGATTCCTCAGGGACCTATAACCAGAAATACCATTTGACCAAACAATCCCATTACTGGGTATATGCCCAAAAGATTATAAATCATTCTACTATAAAGACACGTGCACACGTATGTTTATTGCAGCACTATTCACAATAGCAAAGACTTGAAACCAACCCAAATGCCTATCAATGATAGCCTGAATAAAGGAAATACGGCACATATATGCCATGGAATACAATGCAGCCATAAAAAAGAATGAGTTCATGTCCTTTGCAGGGACATGGATGAAGCTGGAAACCATCATTCTCAGCAAACTAACACAGGAACAGAAAACCAAACACCGCATGTTCTCACTCATAAGTAGGAGTTGAACAATGAGAGCGTATGGGCACAGGGAGGGGAACATCACACACCAGGGCCTGTTGGGGCAGAGGGGTCTAGGGGAGGGATAGCATAAGGAGAAATACCTAATGCAGACAACGGGTTGATGGGTGCAGCAAACCACCATGGCACATGTATACCTATGTAACAAACCTGCACGCTGTGCACATGTACCCCAGAACTTAAAGTATAATAAAAAAATTAAAATAAAACCAAGTTAATCAGAAAGCAGAGAGTGAACATAGAATTTACTTCATTCCTGCACCGTCATGACTCATTTGTGCCATGTTTTGTGAGCACACCTGAGGGGCAGGGGTCGGAACTGGAGGGAGTCACAGGTGTGTGGCTATCAACATTTCCTAGTTAAGCCCAGTCCCCTAGAAACATGCTTGGTTCCACATTTTCCATTTGGGAGAACTTGCCTAAAGTAATACACTGGTTTTTGTCTTTCCATTATTTGCCAAATGTTTCCCATGGGAAGGGAAAGAAGTTATCTTATTTAGTCTCCTCTTCATCTGAGCTTAGTCTCTCTTCATCATCACCCTTTCATCCTGGCTACTGGGAAAAAAAGTAGATTCTTTTGGTGCTTCTTCAACATGCACTAAGATTAGTGGAAAACTTTCTTTTCCTTACAGGGTTGGTCTGTAGTTTGCAGGGGAGAGAGAATGGTTTAAATTCTGATTCGGAATAGTGTTGGTTGGCCTATTTGCTCTCCTATCTGAGCACTGTTGGTTATTAACACTGATATTTTATCTCCACTTGTCTGACTTCAACGTTCATCTCTCAAGTGGTTCTATCTTAGGCCATAACAACATTAAGATTGCCTTTTGACCTTCTAACACCAACAAATCATAATTTCCATATCTCCATGACTCAATAAAGCAGAGCACAAGTCCCCTGTGTCCTGGCAAGAGAGCACATTTGCGCTGTTTCTGTCTATTGGCCACAAGGAAGCACTGTGGCTTTAAAAATGTGACTTTTTTTTTTTTTTGAATCAGCATTTTCCAAGAATGGGGGAAAAATTAAATACTATCTGATTTTGATGGTGCAAGAAATAAAAAAGCTTGGGGGCTTCCAGTACCCCTGACCCAGCTGACCTTCCTTGCTTAGGCCCATGTCTTTTCTGTGTATCTACTCAAGGAAAGGGAAGTGTGGCTGTACAGGAAAAGTGGCAATTTAGGAAACATAGGCTCAAGGGCTTGATGCCAGGAGAGTCCCACAAGAGGGCAGGACACTGGTGATCAGAGGGGCTTAGAGAGCATGATGCTAGCGTAAGCTGTGCATCAAAGTGGTTCCTTTTGTTTCCTTCAGCAGTTAATTTTTATTATCATTATTACTTTAGTTGTCCTCCACATCTACTTCTTTAGTATGGCTGGCTACTTCTCTTTCCAACTCTTCATGCACTACCCAGGATCTCACCCTAGGCAGAAATAAATCCCCAAACTCTCACCAGCCGCGCTCATCAAACAACCCTTCCTGGCAGACTGTGATCTCACCAAGAGCTATCAAGTTGATCAAACTATAAACTGACTTCATCACTAGTCTAAAGAGCCATGGCAAGAACAGCTGCAGGAGAAACCCTAATTAAACTGGGAGGAGAGACATAAGGATTTTAAAGCAGTTTTCAAACTAGC